TGACAACTGATGAAAATGCAGCCATTTTCTCTATTCCTTTACAATGCTTTTCTTGCTTTAGAAATCAGGTGCAGCAAAGGGGAGGGGGGTTGGAATGTAAACTCAGCTAGCCATAATATATCGCTGTGATGGGAACTCAAGGACAAGCTGATAACATGTTGGTGAGCTATGGATCTAAGGAGAAAGCCCCCGCTTTAAGCTAATTGGGGAATGTGATTTATGACAGTTTATTGGGGGTGGGAATTGTACTTTGTTACTTTATATCAAGGGGAAGGGAATTTAGGTTTTTTGGGTTCAACTATGTAGTGCTAATACTTTGTTTCCTGAATAAAAGATTCTTTAAGGAAAACAATGCTTCAAAGTTCTTTTGAAGGGTTTCATCTATCGCAGCGATTCTCAACCTATGGGTCACGACCCCATTTGGGGTTGATCGGCCATTTCACAGGGGTGGCCAAGCAAGGCTGTCCGCCATTTTTTTCTCCTTTTCCAGCGGGTGCCTTACCTCCCTTGGGCTGGGCCAGCTGGTGGCCCAGCCGGTGGTCGGCCTGCTCCGTCTCTGCCGCTTGCCAGCTACACCTTGGCTGGCGCAGGGGGCGGCAGCACGCATGCTCGGCACTCCCGGGCAGGGAAAGTCCACGACTTACGACCGGTTTAGTCCTCGACTTACGACCGGTTGGGAGTCGCAGCATTAAAAAGGTTGAGAACCACTGATCTATCAGAATCATGACACATTGGTTTGGGCCTCCCACTATTAGCATTTTGCTATATTGGCTAATGACCAGTGGGAGGCATTACACCATCAATTCCTTCCTTATTGGGAGTCATAGGGTGTAGTTATCTTCCATTTTAGATGTTCTATATTCAACTCTTTAATGAAATTTGGATCTATAGACCTTGCACTTGATAACTATCTCAAAACAGGGCCTAAGCCGTAGATGTGTTGTAGCTGATTTTCAGCATCTATAACTGCATTCGGAAACAAATCAATAGCCATTGAATGGTAATATGAATTTATATGGTAATGTGGAGATTAACTTGTAAACTCATGAACACTCCCTTTTTATACTGACTGAAGATTCCAAGTGGTCTTAAAATATATCCCCATATGGTATGAGTTACAGTAATAAGAATATAAATGGATTATATATGTGTTCTAGGAAAAACTGCAAGTGGTATACTAGTTCAGATGGAAGAGTCCTTTCTCCCCATGATCTCCTCATGTCCATCAACCCAAGGACTCAACCTTTTCACTTTGTAACCAGCAATTGGCCCTGTCTGCTTGGGAAGGGACAAAGCCACCACAGTACTCTAACTTTTACAAGTAGCCCAGGATGATATTGTGATAAATGTCATTCAAAAGCTGCTGAGAAGTCCAGCAGGACAAACATTTGGCCACGCTTCATCCATGTCCCACCACAAGTCCTTCATAAGAGCAGCCACTGTTATTTCCATCAGGCTTAAATCCTGACATCCACGGCTCCAGATAGTCTTCTTCTAGAGTCTTCCCTAATTATCATCCTGTTAAACACAGAAGAGGTTTGTTTTCAGAAATTGTAGATGCTCCATTGCTGGAGGATTTTAAGAAAAGATTGGACATTTGTCTGAAATGGTATAGGGCAGGGGTAGGCAACCTTGGCTCTTTTATGACTTGTGGACTTCAACTCCCAGAATTCCTGAGACAGCATGGAGTTGAAGTCCATGAGTCATAAAAGAGCCAAGGTTGCCTACCCCTGGTATAAGGTCTCCTATCTGAAACTAGAAGACCTCCAAGATCTCTTCCAACTCTGTTATTCTGAGAGTTAGATCAGTCCCTCCTTTGAGGCTGCTGGGACCTCTCCCTTCTGCAAGGAAGCATTGACTTCAGTGAGAATCCAACCCCTTACTCCCCCACCTTGTCTATTTTAATACACATCCATGCCCAGTTAACATCAGCAAGGGCTCTGCCCACGTCCTCAAAAACTACATTCTTAAGCATAAAAAAGTTGGATTTCCTCAAATAAGCTAGAGAATTCTGAGCACACCTCATTTTTTTTTTATTCTGAACAATACGTGGAGTTGGAGCAAATTACAAAAATTGGCAGAGTAGGATTGTAACATCCTTGAGCACTAAATGAAGCCAAATATAATTGTTTTAGGATTGCAAAAAGAAAAAGAAAGGGGAAAAAAAAACCTGAGGAACTGAAAGAAGATAATCTTGGTGCTCGGGGGAGTTAACAACGTATTCATGATGAATAATCACATGCTGGGAGTGTTTACTATCCAAAGGAGCTTTAAAATCCTTCTTCTTAGTTACTGTTAATGCTGACTCATTTATCTCATTTTTAATACCTTATTTTTATAGAAAGCCATTTTCTCCTTAACTTTTACTACTGCTAGGCAATTTTCTTCCCTGGGAATTTCCCCCCCCCCCATTTTCCAAAAAGTGATGTAAACCTTACAAGAGTGCAAGTACGGCTTACGGCTTATAGCTACGTACAGCTACTATTTGGACCAGAACTCCTGCCGCTAAGTGATCAGGTCATTAACTGAATCACATCTGATTTTACAACCATTTTTGCAACAGCCATTAAGTGACTCACAGGGTCAGTAAGTGAATCAAGCTCATCCCTATTGATCTGGATTGTCTGAGAAGATCATAAATGGCGTTCATGTGATTTTAAGATACTGCAACCATCATAAATGCAAGCCTTTGAATTTTGGTTGTGCAACTGAGGAGATGTTGCAACAGTCATCAGCGCGAGTTTTACGCCAGCCACTTTGTTTCAGCATTGTCATAACTTTCAATGGCCATTAAATGAACACTCATAAGTCAAGGACTATCTGCACTCCACATTTTCATCTTGCTGCTGCACTTCACTTGCATAATGAGGGCTTATCAAGTGCCTTACACACACATGCTGTATACACACACATATGTAGGCAAAGGAGAGAGAACTTTAAAAATGCAATAACAAAGTCAGATCAAAAGAAGAAGAAGAAATCAATCTATATTACAGCCAACATGAAGAAGCCAAGATAAGGTACTAACGATCAACCCACAGCATTGCTTGAATATATTCATTACACATGCATTATAAGCCTGCTGCCTCAAGTCCTCTGCGAATAAGCATGTTTGATGTGAATTCAGACTTTTATTATGCTGGAAGTGTTACAGTGTGGTCTTGCCAAAGCCACTTTGGTAAAATTCTGTTTTGACAAGCTTATTTGGTGTAGTGGTTAAGGTGCTGCCTAGAAATCAGGAGATAGCGGCGTCTGCTTTAGCCATGAAAGCCAGCTGGATGACTTTGGACCAGTCGCTCCCTTTCAACCCAAATCACTCACAAGGTTGTTCTTGTGGAGAAAACAGGAGGAGGAAGGGGTAGGTTCGCCATCTAGCAACTTACAAAGCAACAAAGACAGGATAAAATAAATAAACACACTTGTTTAAAAAATTTTTTAAAAATAGTCAGAACTTATATGAAAGCATGACCTTAAGGCAAGTTTGCTTAGTCACTTTTCAACCAAGGCTATAGGCCAGACATGTCAAACAGCCACGAAGTGGTTTCATGTGGCCTGCAAAGCCATCCTGGAAACAGTGAGGGAACTGCCCCTACTGCCTTGGCCCTGGCCCAGACCAGCTGGGAGCCAATGTACAATTTTGTGGTGGCCATCTATGCTGAAACACATTCAGTCTTAGCTCCACAAGGCCGTCTACAAACAGTGAGGAACCAACCCCTGGGTGTATGCTGGAGAGATGTCACCCTTTGTGAGGAATGAAGAAATGAACCATGCCTTGGTGCTTGCCCTGGTCCCACCCCCTTCTGCCAGAGACCCTCAGATCTGACACACTCCTGCCCAGGCCCCCACAGGCACTCTTGACGCGAACGATGTAGAGCTGGCCACACCCATTCCATCCACACCCACCCAATAGGCCGCACCCACCTGGCCCGCCGAGGGCAACCGCAATGCTGATGCAGCCCTCAATGAAATTGAGTTTGACACCCCTGATATAGGTGTATAAGCTTTCTATATCCTTTTCCTTATGAACTATTCCAGTTATTGAATTGGATGAAATCCTTTGAAATCATTGCATCACAAGGCGTCTCTCTTTGGATCAAGAAAGCAGCCATGTCTTTTTTTTTCTCTACTATTTCCTATGTTGTTTTTGCAGACAAAGACAGTCAAAAGCAATGCATATGCCTAAAATGTCTTGCTCCATATCTCTGGCCCTGATTCAATATCCAGTCTTGCTATAGGTTTTGCACTGCATTTCTTAGGGTATAAAATAAAAACTAAGCATTGAAAAATCAATGGGATCGGTCTTCTTGCTTTCATCCTTCGGTGAGACAGAATTAACTTTTTGGGGTTTACAATGTATTGGTTACCTTTTAACTGCCAATAACTTCTGCTATTTTTGAAGCCCAGTCGATAATTTTACTTATTCTCTAGAATTATTTCCCTTGCATGGCTAATTATATGAACTGCAAAAAACGGATCGTGCAAATTGATTTCAGTTATGTTTCTTTGCTCAGTGAAAATCTAGTGGTGAACTAGAGAAAATACAAAGAGGCACCTGCACTGGAGGTGATCAGTTATTCAAAAGTTGGATTACCAAATGTTCATGTAACATTTTACACTAATTCCATTTTTTTGGTAGTTTCGTGTTTTGTGAAACTTTTCCTGCAACTTACATGAGTGGGAGAAATATAAACGATCGTCTGTGTCCAGACTTCAATTAATTATTTTAAATGCTTGATAGGAATACTGTTCTAGTCCTTTTAATGCAGAAGCTAGACTTTGGAGACATCTGGTAGGTTTTCTCCTAGTGCAAAATTGCAGTTTTCTACAAATGTGGCCCACCACCTCTGTCTTTTCTATTTCTAATAGCCTTGTTGCCTTCAAAATGTTAATGTTAGTCCTAACCTTTAAAGCCCTTTATGGCATGGGTCCAGAGTATTCCAAATATCTCAGGAGTCGTCTCAACCCAGTGGGACTAGCCTACTCCAGTGGAAGAGGCTTACTTTGGATCCCAACTGCCAAACAATTTTGGGTGGTGGGATCCAGGAGAATATCTTTTTCTGCTGTGGCCCCCATCTTCTGGTGTATTCTCCCACTGGAAGTGAGGTCGACCCCCACTGTCCTGGTCTTCAGGAAGAGCCTGAAAACCTGGCTCTGCCATCTGGCCTGGGGCTTCAATAGGGACACTTTGCTGGGGGAAGCTGATGATGGGATAAAGAGAAGATCCTCACCTCCATATCAGCCATCCTCTTGTTTTTTTAGATTTCTATTTAATCCTCTTAATTTAATTGTTTTGTATTATCTTTTCAATCTTTTTATTATATTTTAAGCTGTCCAGGGTCACTGCAACAATGAGATGGGTGGCATAAACATTAAACAAACAAACTAATGTGGTAATTCCCAATCTGAGGGGGCGAAACATTCATATCTCCATTTGTTTTGGACCATAAATGTATAGCTGGTATAGACAGGTCTAGATAGTGCTTGCAGTCCAAAACTAGCTGAAACAACTGATTATCAGCGTTCCAGAGAGAGACTTGTTAACGCATCAAGTGATAAACCATTGAGTGGTTCTTGCAAATTCAGCCCATGGAAACTGCTGAATCACAAGTCCCTGGGAACTGTTGTGTGACCTGGCACATACCTGCTGACATAATTTGATTGGCTGTGGATTACTGAATAAACCATAATTGAACGCACTGACACAAAACTTGTCGTTTTGGATAGTGAGATGGTTGGCATATAAATGTAATAAATAAATACCCAGCGAGCCATCAAATGTGCTAAGTCAAATCAAATAAATCATATGCTGGTTTAAAGATGGGCAAATTCAGCCAATGCTTTTTCTGTCTCAGTTGCCTCTCTGAAAATGGCCTCTGTTGAGAACTAAAGCTTTTGAGAAATTTTGGATTATTCTGTGTGCAATAAAGCTCTTGATTTTACAAATGTTAAGCAACTTCAGATTTAACAGACAAAATCCTGAGGGGAGGGGAGAAGAGAGCAGAGGGGAGGAGAACAGAGGAGAGGGGAGGGGAAGGGAAGGGAAGAGAAGGGAAGGGAGAGGAAAGGAGAGGAGAGGAGAAGAGAGGAGAGGAGAGGGGAGGGGAGGGGAGGGGAAGGGAGAGGAGAGGAGAGGAGAAGAGAGGAGAGGTGAGGGGAGGGGAAGGGAGGAGAAGGGAGAGGAAAGGAGAGGAGAAGAGAGGAGAGGGAGGGGAGGGGAAGAGAGGGGAAGGAGGAGGAAAGGAGAGGAGAGAGAAGAGAGGAGGGAAGAGGGGAGGGAGGGGAGGGGAAGGGGAGAGGAGAGGAAGGAGAAGAGAGGAGAGGTGAGGGGAGGGGAAGGGATGAGAAGGGAGAGGAAAGGAGAGGAGAAGAGAGGTGAGGTGAGGGGAGGGGAAGGAGGGGAAGGGAGAGTAAAGGAGAGGAGAGGAGAGGGGAGGGGAAGGGACGGGAAGAGGAAAGGAGAGGAGGAAAGGAGATGATGAGAGGAGAGGGGAAGGGGAGGGGAAGGGAGGGGGAAGGGAGGGGAAAGGAGAGGGAGGAGAGGAGGAGGGGGGGAGGGGAGGAAGGGGGAGGGAGAGGAAAGGAGAAGGAAGAGAGGGAGGGGAGGGGAGAGGGAAGGGAGGGGAAGGGAGAGAAGAGGAGGAGGAGAAGAGAGGAGGGGAAAGGAAGTAGAGGGAGGGAGAGGGGATGGGGAGAGAGAGGGGAAAGGAGAGGGGGAGGAAGGAGGGAGAGGGAGGGGAAAGAGAGGAAGGTAAGGGACGGGGAGGGAGAGGAAGGAGAGGGAGGAGGGGAGGGAAGGGAGAGAGAGGGAGGGGAAGGGAGGGAGGGAGAGAGGAGGAGAGGAGAGGGAGGGAGGAGGGAGGGGAGGGAGAAGGAGGAGAGGAGAGGAGAGGAGAGGGAGGGAGGGAAGGGAGGGAAGGAGGGAGAGGAGAAGAGAGGAGATGGGAGGGGAGGGGAAGGGAGGGGAAGGGAGAGGAAAGGAGAGGAGAGGGGAGGGGAGGGGAGGGGAGGGGAAGGGAGGGGAAGGGAGAGGAAAGGAGAGGAGAAGAGAAGAGAGGAGAGGTGAGGGGAGGGGAAGGGAAGGGAGGGGAAGGGAGAGGAAAGGAGAGGAGAGGAGAGGGGAGGGGAGGGGAAGGGAGGGGAAGGGAAGGGAGAGGAAAGGAGAGGAGAGGAGAGGGGAGGGGAGGGGAAGGGAGGGGAAGGGAGAGGAAAGGAGAGGAGAGAGAGGATGAGGGAGGGGGGGGAAGGGAAGGGAGAGGAAAGGAGAGGAGAGGAGGGAGGGGAGGGAGGGAGGGGAAGGAGAGGAAAGGAGAGGAGAGGAGAGGGGAGGCGAGGGGAAGAGGGAAGGGAAGGGGAAGGGAGAGGAAAGGAGAGGGAGGGAGGGGAGGGGAGGGGAAGGGAGGGGAAAGGAGAGGGAAGAGGAGAGGAGGAAGAGAGGAGAGGGGGAGGAGGGAAGAGGGGAGGGGAAGGGAGGGAAGGGAGAGGAGGAGAGGAAAGGAGAGGAGAGGAGAAGAGAGGAGAGGGGAGGGGAGGGGAAGGGAGGGGAAGGGAGAGGAAAGGAGAGGAGAGGGGAGGGGAGGGGAAGGGAGGGGAAGGGAGAGGAAAGGAGAGGAGAAGAGAAGAGAGGAGAGGGAGAGGAGAGGAGAAGAGAGGAGAGGGGAGGGGAGGGGAGAGGGGAAGGGAGAGGAAAGGAGAGGAGAGGGGAGGGGAGGGGAAGGGAGGGGGAGAGGAGAGGGGAGAGGAGAAGAGAAGAGAGGAGAGGTGAGGGGAGGGGAAGAGAGGGGAAGGGAGAGGAAAGGAGAGGAGAGGAGAGGGGAAGGGGAGGAAAGGAGAGGAGAAGAGAGGAGAGGGGAGGGGAGGGGAAGGGAGAGGAAAGGAAACAAAACAAAACAAAAGATCAAGCTAGCTGGAATCTCTCTCTGAAGCAATGGCAGTGGCTGAGGGCAGGGAGAGAGGGAGGGAAAGAGTTGGGAAGACTGAAGGGAAAGCAGGCTTGTGGCATTAAGTAGAGTAGATGATGATGATGATGATGATGATGATGATGATGATGATGATGGCATGATTGATAATGTGGGTGTACAGGGCCAACAAATCAAAGAAACACAAGGTGGCTTATAATTGGGAAGTCAGTTAAAGACAAAGGCTCAAACGCTGAAAAAGAAAATAATGTCAGAACTAGCCAGAAGACAATTTTAATCACATTGCTTTGCTTGGCATTCATCAGAATCACTAGACCACTTCAGCCTGGTTTGAAAAGCCAAATTTTCTCTGCTTTTGTAAAGCAGAGTGGCACTGTGACCAAACGGACCTCTTGTTCAGAAGACAAAAGTGGGATAGACTGCCCAGATTTTTGCTGAGGTGAGGAGGAAAGAGAGGAGGTGATGTGCCCTAACTTAGCTGTACTCATTGGAGTTATTGTTGTCAGGGTAGGGTAAGCCTAATATTAATGGGTGTTTAGCCGTGGAAAACACTCTTTCCCCCATTAGTCCATTTAAATCAGTGGTCTTCAAACTTGGCCCTTTTATGACTTGTGGAATTCTGGGAGTTGCAGTCCACAAGTCATAAAAGGGCCAAGTTTGAAGACCCCTGATTTAAATTGAGGATATAATGTTTCTGTGTTGCAATCTGATCTGCTAAGCCTGCTACTCCTTTCAACAATGCCTTATACTCGCAATGCTTTATGCTCAGTACAAAAGGGAATATAATAAATACCTTAAAACTATGTTGTTTGATAACTTTATTAGGAAAGTTGGAACATTTACATAATACCACGAAAATGTTCGCTAAGGGCTTGATATGCAATCGAGAGTTTATTTTTTCCCCATTTCTAATTCCTTCAACTTATCAGTCTTCTCCTCTTCAGCTGAAGCCTTCTATCCTTTCTTAGAGATTAGCCTGGATCCTTTTTCTAAAGATCCAAGAGTGAAATGAAGAAAGGATTTATTCTGTAAACTCCTTGCAGACCTCTTTGAACTGGTGTTCAAAGAGGGTTTAATGTAGTTTGTGCATATATTAATGGAAATGTTGCTTTTTGTGGACAAAAATATCAAACAACCAAAAAAAGAAAAGAAAAAGAAAAAACCACTCCATGTCTGCATCTTATAAAATGTGCTCCCTGTAATTCATTTTCACAAGAGGTGGACTTCATCGTAGGTAAGTGGGCAAGAATGGCTGTGTTTTAGCAGAGCAGACCAGTGAAAACAGTACTGCAGCAGGATAAAGTCAAAGTCAAAATGAAAATAAGAACAAAGGGAAGCGTGGAAAAAAAGAATAAAAATGACAGAAGAGAAACTTGGTTATTCACGTTTGCAGCAGTGCCAGCTGAAAGATTTCTCCCTCTTCATATAACACATAATAATGGAGGTCTCTGCCAGATGTGACAATCACTGTCATTGCTGATGACTTTCTTAAAAAAAACAAAATCTGATTAATTCAAGGAGGATGATCCATCAATAACAGTTACACCTTCTACGTCCAAGTAGAACAGTGATGGCAAACCTTTTAGAGACTGAGTGCCCAAACTGCAACCCAAAACCCACTTATGCATCGTCGAGTGCCGGGTGGGTGTGGCCCATTGGCTGGGTGTGGCCCATTGGGTGGGCGTGGCTGCAGTGGTAGCAGCACACTGGGTGGGACTAAAAAGTTCAATCAATCAATTCCAACTTTGCAAGATCTTTTTTTCCCGTGAAAAGTTGAAATTGACTGATTGAACCTTTTTTTTTTTTTTTGCACATGGCGGCGGAGGCCTAAAGCGAAAAGATTTTATAAAACCCAGCTGAAGGCCTAGGACTGGGGCGACGGTGCGCTTGCCCACAAAGAGGGCTCTGAGTGCTGCCTCTGGCACCCGTGCCATAGGTTCACCACCACTGAAGTAGAACTTACTTGCTTGGAAACATTTTGCTTAAAAAAAAATACTGGGGATAAAGAATAAGGAGCAAGTTTCTCCATCATGGCTTATAGCCATATCTATATGATATTACATTACAGGTAATGTAGTGTCTTATGACCACAGCTGAGTCCAAAGTTTCTGTGGCTAAGCAAGATAGTTGAGTAATTGAGTGTTGCCCCATTTTACAACTGTTCTTGCTAAGTGAATCACTGCAGTGGTGAAGTTAGTTACATGATTGTTAAGTGAATCTGGCTTCCCCCATTGATTTTGCT